ACTAAGACAGCTGTGGAAGAGACAGAAATAGGAACCATATCCAACTCCAAGACCTGTGACTAAATCCATGTCTATTCGACATACATTATCTACAGGCAGAAACAAACATAGGTATTTGTGTTTCGGTATCTACAGAGATGTTAGGAGTGAGTGCTGTCTGTGCCTCACTCCATCCTTGCTCCCTGAAATAACAGCACAGTAAAATCAGAGTCCTCTTAAAAAAAAAACCAAAAAAAACCCCAAAAATCCACAAACCAATCCTCCCTAAAAAGCAACCGACCAAAATCAACAACAACAAAACAAACAAACAAAAAATCCCAAACAACAACAACAAAAAACACAAAAAAACCCCCCAACTCAGATGCTGCTAAATGAATGCAAACTCAGAAAATACTGCCTGATTCACAGGTGCTTGGGAAGCACTGATTTGAGCTTTTTATAATCATGCATCTCCAGTTTGTCATGATTTAGTGGATGGTTAAAGGTGTGGAGCATGTGGCGAGCCCGAATCTTCTCGGGGTGTGCAGTAAGAGAGGCAATCCCTGCAAGCTGCATCAAGGGAAACCTGCTAAGGGATAAGGAAGAAGAACTGAGAGCAGGTGCTTAAGCAGCAGAACGGCTGTGTAGGGAGGCTGCAGAGCCCCCATCCTCAGGGGTATCAAAGGACTTGCTTGGACACGGGCACAGCCCTGAACAACCTGCCCTGCCTCTGCAGTTTGCCTGATTTGAGCAGGAGCTTGGATAAAATAATCCCTTCAAGGTCATTCCCAAACTGAATTGTTCTTTGAATATCATCCCAAAGACAAGTGAGGTTGCTATTTGGCTTCTCTGCTGCATCCCAAAGCTTATCACAAATTCACCCAAGAAGTGTGACCCTGGATTTCTGTGACTAACTTTTTTTTACTTTATTTGGCTTGCTCCTTCTTCTACAAGGGATAAAATGGAACAAATCCAAATCTTTGCTTTCACCCGCTTGAAAACTGTGAAAAATGAAAAGCAAAACACAATCACTGTGCTCAAGCTCCTAAACACATGTGGTCATTTGAGGTCTCACTTAGAGTTTACACACATTCCTGACCTCTCCTCCTAAGAAATACTCCAAAAAGCAATCAGTCGGCTGAGCAGGGAGACCCACAGTTATTAAAACAACTTCATCACCTAAACAGCTCTCAACGTCATTTCAGATTCCTCCCCACCACCACAAGAGGTGCTGCATATGGTGAAAATTAATTCAGTTTGAACCAGAAAACACTGGGGTTAAGTACTTCTTCAACTGGAATACAAAAACTGCAACCACACGTGACTGTCAGGGTATACAGGACTACAGTCAACATGCAGAAATACTATTTATATCCTTCAGAAAAACTGAGTTAAAAGGCTTTTTAAGGGGAACAGCTGAGCTAGGAATATCCAAAAGCGGATGAGACAGACAAGTGTGCAACTCCTACGTGCAGCTCGCTACCAGAAGGAGACAGTGGGAGTCCATCCTGAAACTCACAGCTTTTTCAAACAATTTCTCTCATGCAATAGAAGGGTCCAAGAGGAAGCCTGGACACAGCTGGCTTCTCATTTCCAAATTACAAGTTTTTTATTCTTTTGCTACATATATGTTATATAACCAGATCACAGCCACTGTGGCAGAAACGCCCATGGGCATCCCACAGCCTAACAGAATCACTTCGCAGTAACTTGATATTCAGCCTAAGATTATCCCAGACATTTCATACTGATGTGACTAGGCAATGTGGCAACTTATCACAAGCCAGATTTACTAGACATTCCCCACCACAGAAAGTGAATTAAACTGTCACTCATCACCGTATGAGCTGCACTAGTGTAACTACTTCTCCATGAGTTGGACAACACTTCTCTGAATTAAAACCAACACACTTTCTTGCAAGTCTTTATCCTCCTTTCTGTACATTTTCTTTTCCTTTCCACTTCCCTTATTTTCTGCTCAATTTTCTCTTCCCCTGACTTAGTATGTTTAACCCTCTTTGCTCAGCTTGCATTCCAGTGCATTCTTTTGTCATCCTTGGCAGATATAAACAGAGGGATTTGTACAGGAGCTCCAGCCACCCTGGCCAAACTAGTAATGATGAACTCAGTAGTGGACTACTGCTGTCCTCTTGGTCCTTCCCCTAGGGAATCAGACAGCAAAGCTTCCAGGAGCACAGACCTACACCTGCTTTCCCTGTCTGATCATCATGTCAAGCTAAGGCTGAGACTGTATTCCTGAGTGTTTCTTCTCTGGAATATCTCCCAACATACATGCTCTATAAAAACACAGGAAAAGCAGATGCATTACTCATCGTGAGTGCCACCAAAAAAAGAAAAAGAGCAGAACATTTGATTTAACCACCACTACAATTACAGTTGTTGGCATCTGCAATTTGTAGCATCACACACACGCATGCAGGGACAAATAAAGTAGGAGTACAAAGTAAGTCTTGTTCATAACTCAGACTTGATTTCCAGCAAATTCCATATACATATTATTATTATATGCACTACTTATGGCTGTGTCCTGGCAGAACAGAAAAAAGGATTAAATACACTGTCTGTCTCTCATGCACACTTGTACACACCCAAGAATACACACAATTTCCTGATCTATTGTGAATATACTATTGACAGGAATTGAAAAAGAATTTTAAGTTATCAAAGCTACATGGAAAGCTTTAAGCTAGCTGCTCATGGAAATAAACTAATTTCCAAGAGTGTTTCACTATTTCTGAAGTGTAGCTCATGCACATTTACGGGAAGAGGTTGCCAGCAACATTGTGATAAAGGTGCACTGGGGATAATGAGGTGTTCAATAAGGAATCCTGTGAAGAGCAAATGCTGGAAGTAAGGAATGCATGACAGTTTATGATAAAGATTAAACAAATTGGAAATATGAAAAATAATATGGGAGTTAGTGGTCTTGACAGACAGCAACAGCTCAAATTTGAGCCAGCAACATGCCTTTGGAACAAACCCAAGTGTGTCCATTCTGAGCTGTTGATTTATTAAAAAATATGGGTATTGATCTAGTACCGATATCCAACTGTGACAGACAAAAACTCTCTAACAGTTTAAAGTCAGAAAGTGTATGTTTATTGTGATGCCGGGCAGCATGCGGGATACCTCCCAAATACACACCACAATTTACAGGTGATTACAGAGCCCTTTTATCTATACAAGTATTGAATACCCAAAATACAAATAGATATTCATAATTTTGGTACATCCCATTCCCCGCTTCGTATGCTTAGTTCAAAAGATATTAAGCATGTGCAGTTTGTTCCCTGAAATGGGTCGGTGGTCCCTTTCATGGGGAGGGGTCCCAAAATGAGGAAGTAAATGAAGGCTTCCTCATTCTGACCTTTCTAACTTTTCAATGCAAATATGACAAATGAACCCTTGGTAGAACTCCCATTCCCTGTCTTAAGTTGGTTTCAGAACAGAGGAGGCCCACAACTGCCTTATGTTACTAAAAGCTATTTGTCAGTTTCTATATTCTTTATTATAAACCCAGCTAACCAAACATTGTGTTGACAAGCAATCAATTATTAGTTAACTACTAACTCTTAACTTCATCAAGGCCTACCCATTTATTTTAATTAACTCCAATAAAGCTTATCTCTAACTAAAATCTTAGCCCCTCTAAAATCTCTAAATTCCTTTATGTCTCACTGTGCTGGTGAGAGCACAGCCAGCAGGCCCAGGGAAGCAATCCTTCCCTTTCTGGCAGGATTTGTGAGCCCTCCAGAACAAGAAGGCTTTGACATACCGGAGAAAGTCCAGTGGAGGACTGTGGTGTCTAGAACAGAGGTCTCCCCCAGATCTCACTGTGTTTTCTGATTCCCCAAAGGGAAGGTACAAAGAGAACAGAGTGAGCCTATTCTTGAAAGGGAAGTAATGTGACAAGAACAAAGAAGCTGCAACAATGAAAATTCAGGTTATAAATGAAGAAAATATCCTTCATGAGGTGGTGAAACATGGTAACAGGGGAATAACAAGGCTTTGGAGTCTGCATCCTTGGAGATATTCAAAACCCAACTGTATATGATCCCCAGCAACCTGCTTTAAAAGTGACGTTGCTCTGAGCAGGAGGCTGGACTAGACAACGGCACAGGTGTTTTCCAGCCTGAATTATGCCCAGAAATTACATATCTGGAGGGAAGAAGCCAGAAAGTTCATCAAAGGAGGTTAAGAGGACAAGAAACAGCATAAAGGCACAGGATTAGCTCCATAATGAAAAAACAGAGGTGCAAAAAGAAGCTAGAAAAAGGAATAAGCAAGAAAATAGCAGGCAGGATCAAGACTGAGGAAGAAGAAAGAAGAAAAAAAAAATCAAATCTCTGTTCACAAAATTGAACTTTCCTCTCATAAGCAAGAGGTGAAAAATTCCACAAGAGTCATTCAACAATGAAGTCAAGTATTTAAGTTTCTACTGTAACGTCCATAGTAGATTTGGGTAAGAGAGGGAATCAGTTCTTTCTTTTCCCTTCCCATGCCCCCAGGAAACCAACTAACCTTTAATCTCCCTTTTCCAAATATTTGAACTCAATCTTGCAAACTTCACAGATATTTTAACTATGTACATTATGAAGAATGTTTCATTTGTAATATAAAAATACATGCACTTTTGTCAGCTTAAAACTCAAAGTTCACTCCACCCAAGTAAGCCTCTTACAGTTTTATCCAGTTTTATAAGATATGGCCCCATGAGTCTAGACCTATAGACACAAAAAACTTTGCTCTCTCTTGGAGCTACACCACCAAATTAAAATACTCCTGATCAGGTTTACAGCATTAGCATTTATCATATTACAATATTTTTCTATTCTAACACAGATGCTTAGGTGCATGTGCTGCAATAGGGACTTGCTGCAGCCACTGAAAGGGAGACCAATGCCCAAATTGTGTTTGTGTAAACAAGGAAGAGACCATGAAAGAAAAGCCACAAAAAAAAAAAAAAAAAAAAAAAAAAAAAGAGGCATCTGCACACTTACCCTGTGATATCCACAGTCTGTATCAAAATCAGCCTCAGGTGTAACAGTCAGTAAACAGGACAGCAACCCCTTGCATTTAGCAGAAGATTTCTGGGAAGCCAGATTACCTAGAAAGAGTTGAAAAAGAGTTACTTTAACACACAAAGATGAAATCACCTGTGTGTAATAAGAACAGGCTTCAAACGAATCACAGCATCAGAATAAAAAAAAAAGAAAAAAGCTGCTCAATAGGAGACCACCATGATCAGAACAGAGAATTTAAACCCCAGAAGGTGACAGAAATTTGTTCCAAAGCACAGAGAGGTAAACGCTGGTAGGCACTCAGGGTTTAGCAAAGAACATCTAATACCCAAGATAACATGGTGTTAACCCTCTAATCAAGGATGTGGAGGAGACCAGAAAGAGCACGATATTTTGCTTAATTAGTTGCTATCAAAGAGAGGATGAGTTCAAGCACTTGCAAAAACAAGGCAATCTAAGACTATTTAAAAGTTTAATAGTGTTCTAGAGTCTTTGGTAACACAGAGTTTGCCCATGAAATCAAAATAATCCCCGGAGATAAATTTAAAGGAATATATCTCATTTTAATGTGCAGAGTAAAATGACTATTCATTAAAGCAAAGCAGTTTTATCCCTACAGCCTCCATCTCAGATGCAATACATACTGAAGCAATCTTTATGACAGGAAGTGGCATGTAATCCTGCAAGAATGAACTGCTGTTGTTATCTGCAAATCAATACAATTTTTTTAAAGTGGATATAACTGTGCCTATTGATTTCATGTTTTTAGCCCTAGAGTTTCAGTTTCTCCCAAGAAGATTCTTACAACGACAAGATTGCTGCATACATGTAACTGAGCTGATACAATCTGAATGCGAAGTTTACAGTGCACTTCCCTCTGCAATGCAACTGGGGCTTCTGTCCCATTGCCTCAAATTAAGCCTTTTTTTCATTTTATATACACTTATTTTTATGTATTTATAATAATTTTGAAGTGGTAGATTAACACTTCACTAATTCAACCTGCTAGCTATGGAAAGTTCAGCACACAAAACATTCCCATGGAAGTTATCTCCTTACCCTGCTAGGATATTATTTCAGAATATATGCATGATTTTTGCTATGTTTAAATAGCCTGACCAAATAATTTCCCTTGTGAAAGCCTGAAACTGGTTCAGTGCTGAATATTTACAGCCCTAAGAGGTGTGGTGAAGGTGAGGACGGTAAGGGTACAAGCACACAGAAAAACTGAATGACTTATCCAAGGTCACTTTGTAGATCAGTCAGGCAATGAGCTCCATTAAGAGTTTAATAAAACTGCTAAATTCCTACTATATTTCTGCAAATGAAGCATATAGCAACTTTGGCTTGACTAGCTGACCAAATGGCTCATGCTGCAATGAATGATCTGCAATGAGAGCTGGCTAAGAGGCACAACGCACCATCAGCCTGAGAAACGAGGGAAAAAAGATCAAACCACTAAAAAAAAGTTTAAAAGCATGAGATCAGGGCCAGATGAATGACATCCCAAATCAGGTTAGGAAAGCTAAGTGCTGATAGGACTAATTCTGGCCAAGGACATCAAGGGCAACACCAAATGCTTCTATAGGTAGTTCTGTGACAACAGGGAAGATTTGCGAAAATGTTGGCTGTCTCCAGAAGGCAATGGGAAACCCAGTTACTTTGGATATGGAGGACATTAAGATACTCAATGACTTTTTTGCCTCAGTCTTCAGTTACAGGAGCTCCACCCACACTGCCTGAGTTGCCAGCAGGGACCTGGGAAATGAAGAACCACCGGCTATGAGAGAAGATCAGACTCAAGACCATCTACGGACATGGAAGTGTTGAAGGTCACCTTTGGGCTGGAAGGAACTTTAAAGGTCATATAGCTCCAAGCAGAAAAAACTCTGTGCTAACCACTAGCCAGATGCAGGTTAGTTTCTTGAAAACATAAGATGATGGAAGAGGAAGCACATGAAAGGCTGGGGAAAGTGTGGAAATGCAAACATCTTGTCCACAGTATTCCTCATCATTACCATTCAGTCCATCAAACAGAGCTCCATGCTCTTCCTGAGCCTGTCTTCTTTACAGGTCTAGACTCATTTTGGAGCTAAGCCTTTTCTAATAGCTGGTCTACTTACTTATTTATTTATTTAACAGTACTTGAATACGTTGTTGTGACTTTTTAGTTTAGTTTTTCTGAATTTCACAAGATAACTAAGGAATATACCATGGACTACCTAAAAATACTGAAACAAAAAGGGAGCATTTTCTTTGTTTTGCTTTTAGTTTGCTGAAAAAAAGCACTGTTTTCATGAGGCAGTTTATGGAAAGAAGAAAGGGGAAATTACTCAAGGGAGTAATTTCTGTTTTGCATAGTGACTCATCATATCATAGTTACCCCATCATCTCCAAGGGCAACACTAGGCCAGAGCAATTCTGAAAGATCTCCTTAGGGAATCACACACTTCTCAAAGCCATCTCAAGACTTTTGTTCCAGAACTTCACAGAACAGGAAAAAAACATTTGAGACTAATAAAACCAAACTAGGTTTCAGATAGGGAAGAAGCCTGAGTAGCCAATGGCAGTTTTACACAAAGGGAAATCTTTTTCTCTCTCACCTCAATAATGAAAGACATGAAGAATATTTACAAAGCACATGGTGGGCTCTAGACAGCAGTGTGATATAGAAAGGCAGATGAGAACTCACAGCTGGATACAGGACATCTGAGGAACGAAAAATCAGAAGGAAACGAAGCAACAAAAAAAGCAATTACTTGTCACGATGAAAATGGTACATAAAGATGGGCCAAAGTTCATAATCTGTTTGCTAACTCTTGGACACACAGTTCCAGAGAAGTGTAAAAAACCACTTGGTGAAATACAAAGACACTTAATGATCTTTAACATACTGCAATCTAATGATTTACTAGCATTTGGATGAGGTGTCTTTCCCCTGCTTTAGAAAATCTTGGCTACTTATAGGAAAGGATTTTAAGCTTACCAAAACTTTACTGCAGTTACCATGGTGGGGGAGCAACACCCGCCGGGCAGTTCTGAACCACTACAATAAAATATTGAAACTGGAAAAGGCAGAAACACAGCAAGAAGCTTTCAACAGCAAACCCAGGTTGTCTCTCATCATAGTGTACTACCCTGCACAGAGGTAAAACTTGCATTCCCTGTATTAATTCTCATGAAGCTGAAGGTGCCCTACAGGCAAGCCTTATCTCTCCTTTGGGAGCCTAACTACTGCAAAATAGACAGGTTAAGGATTCTGTCCTGTGCCTATGCTTCTAAATTAAGTGACTTGAAGTAACTGGATCTAAAGCTATCTACTTTAGATACTGCATCTCCTCCTTCCTGAAGGAGGGAGATCTTTCTTCAGGTTAAATCAGCTGCAGGCCATGGTATGAAAAGTTGGTGCCAGCTCACCTCTCATCAACACAAGTATCTTCATGAAGAGGTGGAATTATCAGAAGTGCCTTTGGCATGAAAGACTTGGCCAGTGAGAAGCAGTTCTGGATCTTTTAGAGAGAGGAGCTGTATCAGTTGGACTCCCCTCTACAGTTCTCAGTTGGCCGAAGAAGAGTTCAGCTGCACCAGCAAACAATGAGATATGGTAACAGCACAAGCAGCAAGCAGAAAGCTCGGCTTTAAATAGTAAATCAGAAAAGAAGCATCCAAAAGGCAAGCGACAATGAGGGAGACAATGATTTCATACAATGTCAATCCAAAACCACAATTTTCTTATGCAGCAATGTACTGTTTCAGAGCTTCTCTGTCACAGACAAAGCATCCAAAAGCCATACAGCAGATCTGAAGAAAGGCAAGGAGCAGGCAGCAGCATTTGGCAACTCAGTACTGCAAGGAGGGACTCATTGTTCCAGAGCCTCCCTGAATAAGAGATCACTTTCCCTGAATAAGAGATCACTTAGCAGCAGAGCTGCACAACATGGATCTCAGTGAGGATGCAATGCTCCACGCAGTGCCTTCCCATGTCTCACGTGTTGTTCAAATAAGTATTTGGACAAGAAGAAGGATGAAGCCAAGGATGTGGACATAGCTATTGTAGGTTAATTACCCAGAAAAAGTTTAACACAAAAATATTCTATGAAAGCCTGCCTGTGCAGACAAGCTATAAATCAACTCTGAAGCACAAAGTGCTTTTAAAATGCCCTTTACAAGATGCTCTGCCCTACAAACAACCTCTCCTAAGTCAGATACCACAGCCTGGGGCAGGGGCTGAAGAACAGGAATGAAATACCAGGCACAGAACACCCTCTCTGCAAATAAACAAGGCAAAGGAAAGCAAATCAAACAAAGGGAGGGAGGAAAAACCGACTCCAACACAAAGTATGAGCACTTGCTAGGCAGGTTAAGTGGAAGCTTTACAGGCAGCAGAAGGGTGCTACAGGCAGTGTATCTGCCAAATCAGACCAGTCACTGCAAACAGCGGAGCTCAGCACAGCTGGGAAGTTGTATGGACAAGGGAGGCAAGGACAGACCGACACACCCAAAGGTGTCAGTGCTGCCAGGCTGGGGACAACTGTGTGCTGCTGTCTTTATCTGTTATCTTCAGCATGCTTGCCATTAAAAGCTCTGTAATGCCTGGTGTGACCTGTTGTCCTACTGCTGCCAGAAGCCAAGCAAGTGGTCTGAGAAGGGAGTAATTACAGATCCCACAAGAAGCTACACCGGCTCTGAAGTTGGGCAGAGCTGCAGTCAAGAGTTACAGGCTGGAATAAAAAAAATAAAACACAGGGCTGGAAATGAAGGATGCATCCCTTTTCACAGTCCCACCTGACTTTATGGGAAGGAGTGACTGCTCCACTATGTCTGCAGAATACTATTATGTTTACCCTAATATATTATTTATTACAGAATTTACAGCTCTCTATTTTCCCCAACTGACAACCAGCCAACTACTAATTTGCAAGCTAAAATGCTGTGAGGTCTGCAGATCCCAGGGCATTTGCAAGCCATAAGGATTCTGAAATGCTTGGGAAAAGCCTGGCAATGCTGCCAGTCCTCACTAAGGTCCAAAGAATTTAAGCCACAGCCACCTAAACTAAGGAACTACCTGAGAAAAAATGACTAGAGA